TTTTAAAACTTAATTGTGCTGCAGTAATGAGCAAGCCTTTATCCCATGTACAAGCATATATAAGTATGTCTCTAGGGTGGAGTCCTAGAAGTGAAACTATTAAAATGTTGAGACTAAAATCCCTTTGCCCTCCAGTGGCATTCTCAATGGTGTCTCCCATTCTTCCTGACACTGGATAGTATCTTTGTAAAAGAAATGTTGCCAAGCTCATCTAAACATTTTTTCCATTTATAAGCAGGTAATACATATACATTGTATTTTCTAATTTTGCTGTAGAGAAGCAAATAGAAACAATCTCTATTGATAATATGAATATTTAATAATAATCCCATCATTAATAATCTTAATCTTAGTTGTAATTATTCTTAATCTTAGTAATCGTAATCACCCATAATCTTACTATCAGAGATAACTGCAGTTCGCATTTTGTAATATACCCTTCCACAGCTTTTCTATGCATATATACACAAATAGTTGTATACATTTTTATGATTATTTGTACATTATAAATATACATATTTTATACCTTATTTTTAATGATACACCATCATATAGATATATTGTAATGTATTTACATCTTCCCCTCTTGGTGAAGAGTTGGATTGTTTCCGATCTTTCTTGGCTATTATCAACTTAAGCAAAGCTTTGTGAATATTCTTAATTATTTATTTAGGATAAAACCCTACAGCAGCACTGTCCTTTAGAAATACATTGACAGTGGGACATCTGGGTGGCTCAGTGGTTGAGCATCTGCCTTTGGCTCAGGGCTTGATCTCGGGGTCCTGGGATCGAATCCCACAGCGGGCTCCCCGCAGGGAGCCTGCTTCTCCCTCTGCTCATGTCTCTGCCTCTCTCTGTGTTTCTCATGAATAAATAAATAAAATCTTTAAAAAAAAAAAAAAGACGCCTCGATGGCTCAGCGGTCAGGGGCCTGCCTTTGGCTCAGGTTGTGATCCCGGGATCTGGGATTGAGTCCCACATCAGGCTCCCTGTGAGGAGCCTGCTTCTCCCTCTGCCTGTGTCTCTGCCTCTCTTCCTCAGTCTGTGTCTCTCATGAGTAAATAAATAAATATTTAAAAAAATAAAAATAAATAAAAAAGAAACACATTGAAAGTGACAGATGTGTGCCAAATGTGTAATTTAAAATTTTCCAGTAGCCACATTAACAAAGAAATAAATTAAATTCATATTAATAATATATTTTATGTAATCCAGCATATTCAAAATATTATCATTTAAACATATAATCAGTGTAAAAATATTAAGGGGATACTTTATGTTACTTTTTCCTACTAAGTCTTTGAAATCGGGTATGGATTTTATACTTAGAGCACCTCTCAATTCAGGTGCTAAAATTTCAGTTTTGAAGTAAAGTGTAATTCTATCAAAGTAATAGTTACGTTTAACAGAAAAACATTTTACATGGATTCTATTTTTTTTAAAAGATTTATTTATTTGAGGGCAGCCCGGGTGGCGCAGCGGTTTGGCGCCACCTGCAGCCCAGGGCGTGATCCTGGAGATCCGGGATGGAGTCCCACATCGGGCTCCCTGCATGGAGCCTGCTTCTCCCTCTGCCTGTGTCTCTGCCTCTCTCTCTCCTGCTCTGTATCTCTCATGATTAAATAAAATAAAATCTTTTAAAAAAAGATTTATTTATTTGAGAGAGACAGCATGAGTGGGAGGGGCAGAGGGAGAGAATCCCAAGCAGGCTTCACACTGAGTGTGAGCCCCAACTAGGGGCTCGATATCATGACCCTGAAATCATGACCTGAGCCAAAAACCAAGAGTTGGATGCTTAACTGGCTCTGCCACCCAGGTACCCCTATGGCTTACATTTTTAAAATTTCAGTTAAGTAAGGTTAAAATTCCATTCTGTGGACAGACTGGCCATGCTTTGACTGCTTAGTTAGCCACACGTGGCTAGTGGACTACCATTTTGGACATTTCACTCAGACCTGAAATCAGTTTCATTCTCATAAACCAAAGCAGGGAAAGGAGTGTGTCTGCGAAGAGGATCTGAGCATCCCCTGGCATGTGTCAGCATCTGAAAAAACAATTTAACTCAGGATTCAAAAAACTCAAAAAGGAGGTAACAGAACTCAGGAAAGGATGAGAAATAAAAGGGGAATGTCATTCATTAAGGTAAATAGGTGAAAAGTAAGAAAACTTTGTACAAATCAGACATACGTGGAAATCTCCATAAGACAGGCAGTAGTGCTAGGGTAAGAAGTCAGTGCAGCAGGGGTTGAGGCCCATGAGGAGAGCATCCAAATAGGGCAGTGGCCCTGTGCAATTGTGAAATTAAATCAGTAGACTGAACAAAAAAAAGTATTGAAGATTGTTTTTCTCACTGAGATGAGTGATACAGATGTGGGAAATAAAAAAGTTAGAATAAATGCTATGGTATTGGATTGTGACTGGAAGTATTGGTTATCAATACATATAAAAAATCTAGGCATAAACTTGTGTATCTATGTATACATCGGTGCATTGCACAAGCATACATATATTGCCCAGGCTGTCCGCAGAGGGGACTGGAAACAATGACACCCCAAATTCAGTAAGCACATCAAGCACTTGAATCTTGGCTTCTAAATACCATTTCCCGTTCAGAGGAAGCAGTGCTTCCTGGGTGAGAGGACTGATTCTAGAGCCGTGGCAGGGAAAGAACAAGATGAGCCTGGACAATTTTGTTATGTGGCAAAGAGAGGAATTGCTCAGAGAGTGACTGTGTATGCATCAAAGTATATTTCTTTCATGTAGTTTTTTTTTGTACCTGAGTAAAAAAAAAAATGGTTAAAGCAAGTCAGAAAATAAAACAAAGGACAGACAGGAGAGGTCTGTAGGTATCTTAGTTGAAAGATCTGCTCTGGGGCTTCTGGATGGCTCAGTTCGTGAAGCGTCTGCCTTCGGCTCAGGTCATGACCCCTGGGTCCTGGGATGGAACCCTGCATTGGGCTCCCTGCTCAGCGAGAAGTCTGCTTCTTCCTTTCCCGCTGCCCCTCCATCCTGCTTGTGTTCTCTCTTGTGTACACACACACTCTCTCTCAAACAAAGAAATAAAATCTTTAAAAATTAAAAAAAAGCTCTGCTCTATTAATAGGTCAGACCCTATTCATTCAGAATAGGGAATTAGAGAAAAAAACATTCTTTTGGACATTTTCTATTTTAAAACTCTAGACTGAGATTCCGGATGACAAGTGTGGGAACATTAGCTTCATGTGATTTTTGTGCCACTATTGCAATGGAACTTAGGCCACTATTGCAATGGAACTTAGGCTTTCTTTATCAAGAAGAATGACAACTTTCATTTTATTAGTAAGGTGAATAGAGTTAATGTTAACTGAAAAATGAGTTCTGATTCCTTGCAATCAGCCTCAGGCGGGCTCCCATATGGCAGCAGGGCTGGCCTGGGCAGCTTCTGGCTCTTATGGTGTCCCCTCATTCCCCAAAAACTCTAGAGGGAAGTGAGGGCTGTCTCCTGAGCACTTGGGAAGGGTTGCTGGGGAGGGTCCTTGGGGGCTGGGTCTGGCTCACTTCTTGTCCTTGATCCAAAAGCTGTGATCAGGCCTGGGTCATGTGCCCGTCCTGCAGCCCGAGTGGAGTGGGTGGGTGAGACTAGCCTTACCAAAAACCATATGGACTGGGATCCCAAGAAGGAAGTTTCCCCCAAAGAAAATTGAAATATTCTTTTCAGCAAAAGGGGAAATGCAGATCAGCTGGACAGAAGCAACAGATGCCCACTACCATCATCTCACTGTTAATGTTAGTTTTCACATAACTAGTTTTCCTTTCTTGTGTCATGGAATCTCTCCATAGCATGAGTTCAAGTCCATCTCATTCTAAAAGTATTTGTGAATTTGTGAATATTTGCACGTGAATTAAGATTCACAGAGTACAAAAGGATTTATTTATTTTTAAAGATTTTATTTATTTATTCATGAGAGACACAGAGAGAGAGGCAGAGACACAGGCAGGGGGAGAAGCAGGCTCCCTGCAGGGAGCCCGACGTGGGACTCGACCCCAGGACCCGGGGATCACACCCTGAGCTGAAGGCAGACTACTGAGCAGACCACTGAGCCACCCAGGTGCCCCAGTACAAAAGGATTTAAGTGAAATGTTTCTCTGCCATACTTTTCATATCTGTGACTTATTTATTTTCTAACTGGAAGTTTGTACCTCTTACTCTCCTGAAAGGTACAGCATTGGGAATACAGTCAATACTACTGTAATAACTTTATCTGGTGACAAATGTCACTACACTTATCTGCTTACCATAGAGAGCACCGCATAATGTATATAATTGTTGAGTCACTATGTTGTACACTTGACACTAATATAATATTGCATGTTGATTATACTTCAATTAACAATTAGAAAAAATAAAAACAAAAAAATGTTTCTTCCACCCCTTTTCCCCACCCCCCCCTTCCCTTCCATAGCATTTTGGAAATCCTCCCAGAGTGTCTGCATTTACAAAGCTGTATAAATGTAAACAGTGCCCACATGCATGGAGAATATTTATTTTTATGTATCAATGTATCTTGGAGGCTGTTCTGAATGACTACATAGCACACTGCCTCATTTTATTTTATAGCTGCGTAGAATTCCCTTGTGTCATGTACCCGCATTTGTGAGTCTTCTGCTCATGGACCCTCAGGGTGTTTTCAATCTTTTGCCATTGCAAGTAGAACTGTAAGAGCTATTCTTTTATAGTCACCTTGCACAGGATGGCGCCTCTAGGAGATTTCCTAGAAGTGGAATCATTGCATTGGGTCCGAGGACTTATGCAGTGGAAATGTACATGATTGCAGCCCCAAAGCCCCCTGATAAAAGTGGTAACAACGTGTGCCCCTCCTTCCTACAGTGACACTGGTGTTTGAAATAGGGGTTGGATGGGGTTCAGGCAGGGAGGGGGGGTGGGGGGCGGGGAGATTCTTGCCTATTCTCCCATGGCAATGCCTGTGACCCATCCCCTGTCCTCATCTGTGTCTCCACAGAGCAAGCTGGTAAAGTACTTCAGCCGACAGCTGTCCTGCAAAAAGAAGGTGGCCCTGCAGGAGCGCAACGCCGAGCTGGATGGCTTCCCCCAGCTTCGACACTGGTTCCGGATCGTCGATGTGCGGAAGGAAGTCCTGGAGGTGACCAGAGACAGCCCCCCACCCCCTGCCCCTTCCTGGCCAGAAGCCAGCCCCTCCGACAGCAGGTTTTTGCCTGTGCCTCACGCAAATATGTGTTGGATGAAGGCGCAGAGGATCTCAGATGCTGTCCAAGTGGGTTGTTAAGAATATGGCTCTACATTCAGTTGGATCCTCTTTCAGCTCTGCCTATTTATTAGCTCAATCACCTTGGCCAAGTCACATTACCTTTTAGACCAGTGCTGCCCAGCAGAACTTCTGTTATGATGGAAATAATTTATATCCGTGCTGTCCGAAGACAGCATGCCATACATAGCTGTCGGGTGCTTGAATTGTGATGAGTGCATGTGACTGATGAGCTGGATTTTTAATTGTATTTAATGTTAATTAACGTGCCCAGTGGCCACCATATTGGATCCCACCATTAAATGGGGGTAAAGATTATCTCCTCTTCTGAAGTAGCTAGAATAAAATGAGAAGATCCATCTAAAATGTTCCGCTCACAGTCTGGCACCTTACCATTGAAAACTTTGGAAGTAACGAGAGTGGACCACATCCTTAAAATCTCAAGGATAGTGAGATTTTTTTCCTACCCTCTTGGATTCTAGGTCCCCACTGATTCCAGTGACCAGTCTGGCCCTTCCAAATAAAACTAGTTACTGAATGTTTGGGGCCAGGAGTTGTCCTAAGGGCTCTACACCCAGGATCTCAACTGTTGAGGCTCGCAATGACCTTTTGAGGTGGGGACAATTATCCCCATTATGCAGAGCAGGAATATAAGGCTCAGAGATGAAGCAACTTCTCCTGTTAGAGTAGATGGGGCTGGCAGGAAAATGAGCTCAGTAGGACTCTGGAGCCTATGGGAAGCGCTGTGCTTTCTCCTCCTTTTGATGTTGCTGGGGACTCCCTGAGCTGGGCAGACAAGGGAGTGCCCCGCTTGCCTGCAGGATCAAGTGCCATTTCTCATGGTGCACCCTTCTTCTTGCTTGAAGAGGTCTTCCACCTTTTGTCTTTTTCAGACTTTGACCTCTATGCGAGAGCTAGCATGAACCCACCTGATCCTGAGCTAGAGGAAGGGCCCATACATTCCTCAATCACACCCTACCCCAACCTCGTGCATGCACACTGGCTGACGTATAATTCTATGTTCCTTTCATTCCCAGAATGGTAATTTCATGTGAATTTCCTTAAAATGAAAGGTCACGAGAAACTACAGACAGCACATTTTATTTGCATGGGCAAATCCACTTTTTAGAGGCTTTTGGGACCATTTATTTATCAAGCTGGATGAATACAGAGACAAAATCCTTTCAGCCAGGGATTGAAAACTGGTGGTTCCCAAGCTGTTCTTCCTTGTATCTGATGCACAAACATTTTTTGTTTGTCTGGTATAGTGTTTGCAACATATTTTTTTGAGCCAATATTTAAAAGCTTAAAGAGTTTGCATTAAAAAACCCCAGATCTCTGGCTTCTCTTGAAAAAGTCCAATTGGGGAACTCACTGAACTGAATTCCTGTCTGGTGGCAGTGAATGACCTGATTTCTGCTGCCCCTTCGGATCCTGTAGGCTCCTGCTAGTGAGCAGTTTTGCTCATTTACATTTACCTGGCCTACAGGTGCCCCAACTCTGGCTCTTTTTTTTTTTTTTAAATTTATTTATGATAGTCACAGAGAGAGAGAGAGAGAGAGGGAGAGACACAGGCAGAGGGAGAAGCAGGCTCCATGCACCGGGAGCCCAACGTGGGATTCGATCCCGGGTCTCCAGGATCGCGCCCTGGGCCAAAGGCAGGCGCCAAACCGCTGCACCACCCAGGGATCCCCCCAACTCTGGCTCTTACCTTAGTCTGTTAGAATCCTGAGTCCACTAACCGGGAGATGAGGACGAGCTGGGCTTCCAGCTCTCTGTCTGTAGCTCCCATGTGCGTCCACCAGAGGTCCCCTTTCTGAGGAGGAAAAGGCTCCCAAGTAACAGCCTGGGTTCAGACTTACTTGCTCTGCAACCCTGGGCAAGTGGTTTAATCTCTCTGAATTTTAGTGTCCTAATTACAGACCAATGATGATGATGATGAAAGTACTCCTTTATGTGGTCTTTGTGATAGTAAAAAAAAAAAAAAACCCAGGGAAAGCCCTTAAAACAGTGCACCATCCATTTCGTTTTTGTTTATTATTATCATTTTATTGGAAGGAAGTGCATCTGGTCTGTTAGTCCACATTTCTTAAGGCTTTGTCCATTTTTAATGTCGTTATTACTTTTGTGGTTTTTTTTCTATGACCCCAAATTTCAGTGAAAATTGAGTGTTTGGGGGAGTAAATGATAGGATTAAAATGCACAAGTGAATCCTGCAGCAAAGAAGAGAATTATTTTATGCTGTCAGTGAGTTTCTCTAAATGTGATTTGTTTTTTACCTTCAGATCCTGGACCCTCAGTTTTCTTAAAGTGGGCTTTACAAGCCATGTGTCTCTATTTGAGAAAAGCCCTAAATGCCTCAAATATTGTTTGTTCCTGCTCCTTGCCCTAGTGAATTGGAAAGGCACTGATTTGTCTTTGTGGCCTTTGCCCTGCATCTGTTTTGAGGTGGGGAAAGAAATTTTCCTCTTTTTGGCTGCCAGTTTAATGCCTGTGTGTGTGGTAGAGATGCTGGTGTGGTGGTGGTGGTGGTGGTCTGATTTTGTTGTAATACACAGATGTTGCCACAAGAGGGCAGTAATGTTCCACGTTGTCCTAGAAACCCCATCTTTAGGTATCTCAAATTCTTACTTAAATAATATATGTAAAAACAATGGATACCATTAACTGCTATAAAATGAAGCCTCTTCATTTCATATACATGTATAGCTATAGATGTATACAGATGCATAAATGCAAAAAGATGCGTAAATATTGAAGTTTGACAAATTTCAAGGTGTATCCATATCATGGTGTTCAGGGGACACATCGTTTTGGGAAAGGGAGGGTGGTTGCTTTTGGTGGTGAAGGGACATTTATATCTGGGAATCCTACCCTCTCCAGAGGTATCCCTGTCCCCACCCTATGCTATACCCCAGCCTTAGCACTTTGTCTTAGAATGCAAAATTGTGCCCTGTGGGCTCAGACACAAATCCAGTTCCATTTCCAGCACTGAACTACAGACAGGGTTCTGTTCTATGCTCAGGCTACTGCCTCTTAGGATTCCTAAGGCCCCAATCTAGACCCTTGAATGTGTAGCTTGGGAGGACAGCCATCAAGAGACTTGGGCTCTGCTCTGAGTTCACCCCTGTATTGGGGCCAAGCCAAGCCAAGCAGGAGGCCCAGAGAGCCATCTAAAGATGATGAAAGTGGAATCTGCCCATAAGAAGTTCAGAGAGTACAGAGGAGGGCAGATAATTAACCACCACCATCCATGGAGCAGTGACTGCGTGCTCACAATAGGTGCTACCTTACAAAGTAGGTGCCATTAAGACTCCCATTGTACAGGTGAATAAAATGAGGCTCAGAGAACGTGACTTGCCCAAGGTAATCAGCGGCAAAGCTGAGATTCAAATCCAGGTCTGTCTGACCCTAGAGTCAGAGACCTCAGCTGCAGTTCACACCGGGTGTTGCACGTAGGCTGCTAGAGGGCAGTGTGGAGGCTCAGCCCACTACCCTTCCCTCTGGGCACCTGAGGTGTGTTTACCGTCTTTCTTCCTTCCCTCTTCTAGGAAATCACCCCCGGCCAGCTGAGTCTGGAGGACCTCTTGGAGATGACAGATGAGCAGGTGTGTGAGACCGTGGAGAAATATGGAGCCAACCGGGAGGAGTGTGCCCGTCTCAATGCCTCCCTGTCCTGTCTCCGGAACGTCCATATGTCAGGTGAGCAGGCCTTGGGGATGGAGACTCGTCCCCAAAACATCTGCCTCAGTTCCTCTAGATTTCTGTGCCTGAGCTGCAGGCCAGGATGAGACAGAGTCAGCTTTAAATACCACTCATGAGCAGAGAAAAGAGAGGCCTGGATTCGGAAGCCAGAGGTGGTGAGGGCAGCTCTTGGAAGCTCTTCCTTAAGGGAGAGCTCAGGTGTAGGGCATTTGGTTCTGGATAACACCAGCCAAAGGGTCATTAGTTCATCCACATAGTTGTTTCAGTTTCCACCACAAGGTGTCGCTGCAGAACCTCAGTCTGGACCCATCAGGCCGCTGGTTTTCTGCACAAGCCCTTTACAGGGTTCAGCCTGGGACATTCAACAAGTATTTACTGACTACTGTGTGCCAGCAGGCTGGGGTACAGCAGGGAATGCAAGAGAACATATATGGAACAGGTCATTGGCTCAGGTTCCCCATGCATACCCTTTGGTAGTCTTTCTTGCTAGCGTATCCTTATCAAAGTTATCATCAAAAGGGACCCTGAATCAGGGGCTGTCTGTCATTGAAGAATATATGGCAACAACCCTGGCCTCAGTTACAAGATGCCAGTAGCACCCTCTCAGTCCCGGTCATGACAAACAAAAATGTCTCCAGATAATCTACATGGCCATGTAACCTTCCAGAAAGTTTGTATCAATTTATGCCTCTCCCCAGATCCTGCCCCCTACAATACACGAGGGTGAGCATTGATGTTAGGTTCTTAATTGCTTTTCTGAGTTCACAACTTCCATCAGAATTCTGCTGCTGAGTTCAGTGAAGTCCTTATAAATGGAGCTGGCCTCCAGCTCTGCCTGAGATAGGTGTTTCACTCATCTGTGGTGACATCCTGGGCTGGACAAGACCATGAGAGGACCTCTAATCTTGTGTTTTCCAGTTTTGATCAAGATGCCTAGAAATGAATCGGATTTACACTGCAACTCTGTACAGATACACACACACACATACCCATACACATACATACCTGAAACGAGTCTCGTGAAATAAAGAATGGCCATCAAACATGCATGGTATTTTGCATCCTTTCCTATTTTATTCTGTATTACTTACCAAATGCTGTTCATGACCCACCACTTTCATGTCACACCTCATTTATGGATTGTGAGCCATGGTTTGAAAGACAGCGATCTTTTTGGTTCTGGTGGGGAGAAAAATTTTTCTCTCTACTCTTCTGGGTCCTTGGCTGAAATGGCCCCTGAAATAAAAGACCGATTAACAGAAGAAAAAAAAGTTTTAAAGTTTAATAACATGGTTACTTCCTGTATGTGTGGAAGAGCCTTGGGGAAACTGAGGAACTCCTTAGAGTGACCCAAGACACCACCTTCAATTGCATCTCTAGTTAAAGACAAAGGAGAGGAGGCAGTTGGGGGGTGGGGGCAGTTGTGGGAGGTGACCAGGAAAAGCACAAATAACAAAGGGAAGGTGGGTGTGCAAAAGTCTCTGCCTTCTCCATTGAGAGGAAGAAGTTTCTAGAGTCACCCTTCTGATACTGAGTTGGAGACACCTTTATAAATGGAGGTTTCCTATATAAATGTCGATGTCTTTTGCAAAAGTGCAACTTCTACTCATGTTTCAGAGCTTCACCTGTGTCTACTGTTTCTTCAAAATAATCAGCCTCAAATAGCTTTTATGCTAAAGGGACATATCTTGGGGTAGCAAATTCTGCTCCCTGTCATCCTTTTGCCTCTACAAAGTCTTCCCAGGCAGCTCAGATGCTGTCTACAATGTCCTGCTTCTGATACCAACCTTATGGCCACTGGGACCTTGACAGCAGTGGCCAAGTGCTGCACGTTTGCCCAAATCCTATGGCACTTAGTGTTGAGGTCAGCATGGGGAGCAGCGCAACTCAGTGCCATGTGGGGCGCATTCCACTGAACACAACCCAAGTAGGTGTTGGAAGTGAAGACCTTGTTATTACTTGTTATAAGGAAGGAGGCAGGGAGATAACTCTCCAAACAAGGCCTCTCCCAACAACAAAATTGGGGAGGGGTTTAAGCTGCGGGTTCATACGTATTCAGGAAGGAGCATGACAAAGGATGGTTCAGGCTAGAATTGGGGCAAAAGTCATCCTCAGGTGGCAGAGTCCAGGTCCTAGTTGACTGAAGTCACAGGCCAGCCAGGTTCAGCATCATCAGCGCTCTGGCTCCAGGTAGTCCAGTATTTGTGTGCTCAACAGGGTTTAAATCCTGCAGAAATGACACAAGAGTGGGCATTAGGTCAGTCTTTACTTTTGAAAAAGCACTGGGAGCTTTACCACTGATTTATTGTCTCTGCTGTGGTCAGACTGTCCTGGCTTGGGAGTGGCTGTTTGTTTTTCACTTTCTTTTGTTCCCTTAAAATCATTAACTACCAAGATCTATTTTTTTTCCTGCAATTTTTATGCATCCTAAGAAGTTCTGTGAGAAATGTGCTTGTGCAAATAGTGCTGGTCTGGCATCGATCACAAAACGGCTGGGGTCCTAACATGACTTCTGTGATGTTAAGAAAGCTGTATCTCATCTTTACTTTTCTGGGGACCCTTAGCTCTGTCTTGTCTACACACCCAGCTCCGAATTTCTATGGTGTCATACTTCATGTCTGATCTTCCTGTATGCCGCATGGTTGTTTGTTACATTTTAATTTAAATTTTAACCATTTTTTTTGGGGGGGGGTGTGATTTAAAAAAAAAAGGATGCCTATCTCCCTACCAAACTGTAAGCTGCAGAAGGGCAGGGATCATACCTCTTTTGGCTCACCGTTTTATTCCCAGCCAGAGATCAGTATGTGATACAATATTTGACTCTATGAACTTAGTAAATATTTTTGAATTAATGCACCTTTCCCCACATGTAGCCCATGCAAATCACCAATGGCTTAAAGTATATGGCCTTTCCATGGGTTGTAAAGAAAGCTCAGGATTTGGCTTCTATTTGGAGCCCCACCGTTCACATTTCCCCCTCAAGCCTTGACTATTGGCTAAATCTACTAGTTACTTAGAGTTTTCTAGGCCAGGCATGGATTTCGCATGGATTTCTTGCTCCCAGTGCCACTGCCTAGAATTCTCTTTCTCTTTGTTTTTCCAGGGAACCCCTGCTTATCCTCACACCCAACTCCTGCCTCAAAGCCTCTGCACTTTGTTGAGCGAATGAATGAATGCTTCTGTCACCAACTGACCATGTCTTGCAGTGGTTGTTAGTTTCCTGGCTCCCTCATCTAAATGTGACCTCCCGCTGGGCAGGTGCAGGACAAACCTAGCTCCTGGCTGGGGTTGTCTCTGTTAAGGGAAGACCCAGGATGCTGTTGGATGTGCTTGCCACTGATCTCCACCAGGGGGAAGCAGTGAGCCATCCTGGACCCATCCTTCTTTTAAATCTTCCCTCAAAAATGATCATTGGTTCCTAGAAGCTTCTAACTATCTTGGGAGCTGGATGATTCCATCATTTCCTGCCCTTCGCCTTAACTAAAAATGTTATCCCAAACTAAGGAACAAACTAGTGTCTTTCCCACGAGACTCTTGTTCTTAAGCATCATGCCATATTTATGCACCCTGGTAACCCCAGCTCTCGGCTGGAGGACTGGAGTCTTCTACGGCAGTGAAGTCAGATATTTTAAATTCTGGCTTGTAAATGGTGACTTGATGCATGTTTGTTAAATGACTGAAGGAATGCAAGTTGTATTGAGAAACTCATGGAAGCAGATAGAGACAAGTAAGCTTTAGGCCTGGCTGAGGATACTCTCTGCCTCTCTGTCTCTCTCTTAGGGGATCAGGCAACTTTATTTTAGACGTGTGACTCTAATCTTAGTTTTCTCCTTGGGTTGGGTATATTTTTGTTTTCCAGTGTCCAAGGAGCCCCTGAGTTAGGGAAAAAAAAAATTAACCATTCTTGACTTTTCAGAGCTTGTTAGATCAGCCTCACAGCCTGAAACTGAAGAAGCCTCAATTGTCCTTTCAATAGGCTCGGGGGACCCCAAATCCATGATATGTTAACCTTTTCTTATCATATCAGATGTGGCCTGCAACCAAAAAAACATTCAGTCATTCAACAAAGTTTGTGGAATGCCTGCACTGTGTCAGGGACTGTTCTGATCTCTGAAAATGCAGGCTTGGATGTCAGTCCTCGGGGGTTTACGTTCTAGCAGGGGGAGACAGATGACACGTTATGATCATAATAAGCAAATGCATTGCAAAGTGTGTTAGAATAAGTGCAGTGGGGGACAGAAGAAGAAAAGTGGAGCAGTCTCAGGGGGGTTGGCAGAGCCTTCTGGGAATGGTGGCCAGGTTGTCCTATTAAATAGTGTGGTCAGGGCAGGCCTTCCTCCTCTTCAGTTTTCCTCTCTGCTCTCCTTTCCCAGGCTTTCACTGTCTGCTAACAGTGTGGAATCTGGACAAACCCAGCCTCTGCCAAATTCTGAGTCTGCAACCTATCAACTATGTGATTTTCAGTATGGCCTCTCCAGATTCTGAGCTTAGTTTCTTAAGTAGTGGGATGAAGATGATGATCATTTCCACCCAGTGGTTGTTGGAAGGATTACATAAGATGGCACAGGCAAAGCATGGGGCCTGGCTCAGATTAGGTACATGATGAGTCCTCTTGTTACCATTACTGTCATTGTCCTCATTAGCACCCTCCCTGCCCCTGTCCTACATCCATTACCACCATCTCTGCTGAAGTTCTACTACCATCACCACCCATCACCACCATTGTGTCATCACCATCATCACCACCAGACACACCATCACCACCACCATCAGTGCCACCATCACCACCACCACTATCCACACCATCACCACACCACCAACCACACCATCATCACCACCATCATCATCACCATCACCACCGTCATCACCACCAGCCCATCACCACCACCATCAGTGCCACCAACATCACTACCACCACTATCCACACCATCATCACCACCACCATCACTACTATCAGCATCACCATCACCACCATCATCATCACCACCAACATCACC